AACATATACCAAGAAACCACTTGTACTGCAAAATGCCTCTAGCATTTTATAGAGGATCCAAGTCTCAGAATCAGTCTATTTTTCTAAAAGCAAGCAAAATAAACGGGTTCAACAAATCCTAAAAAAGAACATTAATGAAATTATGACAACTTAACCAAAATTTCAAAAATGACGGGCAATGTCATTTGAAGCTCAATGTCAAAGGCAGTTCAACTACCAATGTTATATTTTGACATTGTATAAACCCATTATCTTTTTTAACTGTTGACCTGGCCTTGGACTTAGACCTTTGAGGTAGTGCCCTGATTCTTGCGCATTGCACGTCGTCATTATGTCAAACACATTTAAGCATAATATTTTTTTTAATCCATCCATCAATGACATATTTTTAAGTGCATTTTTATCAAACATTGCCTTTGAAGTCAGAGTGTGTCCTTGACCTTTGAGCGTCAGACCTTAATGTTGCAAATGACACATTGCCATAGAATGCTACATTTATACAATTTATTTTGATAATCGTCCATAAAATTAATGACAAAGTTATGGACTGGAAAAAGTTCGAACAAAAGAACGGATTAGACGGACGGAAAAATCAACGGACGATAGGTTGGACGCGTTAGAAAACTATATGCCTCTTAACATATTTATTCATTTCTTTCTTTAGGGGTGGTGGCATAAAATAAAATGAAATGTGCATTCAAAAAAGTTGTGACAACACTCATAGCAACATTTAATAAAGATTTCCATAAGGGTTTGTCTAAAGAAACCTAAATGGAAAGTTCGCTGGAGAGACATTTTCTCATTTGGGTTAAAATGAAGTAAATAGCCATAATAAAAAAGTTATGAGAACACTTCCATCAAAATAATGAGCATGCGCAATGCCATACACAAAATTAGAGAACTTTCTTAGACATTAAGGTGATTCCGCTTTGTCAGCCATGTTTGTTTTCACAAAGTCTGTCCAAAGTGAAAGTAGGCCAAAATTTATATAACAACAAAGCTCTTATTGTAAAATGATGAACCATTTGAAAGTACACTTCCAGGTTTATATTTTAAGGACAATTATAAACAAAAATAAAAATGATAACAATAAGAATATTTACATTGAATGTGCTACATTTCGGAAGACCAAAAACATTCTGTTGCAAAGTTTTATGCACATTTCATCCTTTTTAAAGTCTGTTTTAGTGCCTACAAAAGCTATTTTTTGCAGCAAATACAAAAATCTTTCAAAACTTAACTCCAAATAAATCCATATCTCATGTCCTTCTAAGCACATGGCCTCCATTATTTTTTGTAAAAAAGTAGTGCAAGAAAACAATCATCATTTATAGCCTTATGAACTACTATTAAAATAAAAACACTATCAAACTTTAAAATCTAACCCTTTTATGTGTAACAGTGAAGTGTGTCTGTTTGTCATGTACACAAGAAATAGGTAAATGATGTTTATTTTCATGGTACTACTTTTTTACACATGTCATGGTGGCCATGTTTTTTCAAGGTCAGTTAAACTACTTTCCTAAGATTTATATTTTTTAAAGTTTTTTGTATTTTCTGCAAAAAATAGCTTTTGTAGGCACTAAAACAGACTTTAAAAAGGATTTTGCCATTCATGAAATGTGCATAAAACTTTGCAACAGAATGTTTTTGGTCTTCAGAAATGTAGCACATTCAAGGTAAATTTTCTTATTGTTATCATTTTTATTTTTGTTTAAAATAGTCTTTAAAACATAAAACTGGAAGTGTACTTGCAAATGGTTCATCATATAACAATGTGAGCTTTGTTGTTATATGAATTTTGGCCTACTTTCACTTTGGACCCACAAAGTGAAAACAGACATGGCTGACAAAGCAGAATCACCTGAAACGTCAGTTCACTGTTCAGATAATTTATTTCTTTTAAAACATATCTTCTACAAAAAGCACCGCATGTAGTATAAATCTCCGCATAGGGCAACCAATAATAACGTTAAAAGGGGTATAACTTCTAAAAGTATGCAATCAAACCTATATCCATTATCTAACATATTCGTCTCGTAATGATAATAAAGTATTACAAATTGATAGCTTTGATAGTTTTTAAATTATTCTACTAATGATATTCAATTTTGGCAAAAATGGGGCATAACTCCTAAAATATAGCTTTCAGAAATAATGCTTCAATGCACATCATTCAATAAATGCAGAGCAAAATTGGAGAGAAAAAACCCAACTGTTTAAGCACAAATTACCCCATTAGATACAGGAACACCTAATGTATCATGTAAATTACATCAGTCTCAGTCAATAAATTGAAACTGCAAGAGCAAAAATAAGGAACATAAGGCTCGCAAACCTGACCTTGACCTACGTGACCACATTCTTCTTCCAAATTGATGGTATCATCCAAGATATTTTCAACATAGACATGATGGCCATCAGTTAATAAATAAAGATAGTAAAAGCATAGATAGCGGTATTTATTTAATCACTTGTTACATTGACATTAGTGCCCCTACATTGAATCACCCCTGTATCTACCTGCAAACTATGAAAACCTTCAGTCAATGAAAAAAAGCTTTATATGTCCAAAAATTTATTTCCAGTACTAATGACCTTGAGATTAATCCAAGTGACCATAACTGCACTTACCGTAAGTTAAGTCCTTCCAATATGAAAAACATCGGTCAATGAGTAAAGGCTATAAAAGCAAAACATTTACCAAGCGAAATATACGTATAATAAAGGAAGATGATTAAACAATCAGGAAAGGTAATATACATTTTACTTCCTCATTAGTCTTTATCACTGTTTAATGTGTTAATAAAATTATTTCAACACTTTCCAAGTCGTTTCCCGGGAAAGCACTATTGTATATCATAATGAGAGATATTTAAAAAAAGTAATGCAGAGTAACGGTACTTATACACTCCACATACCTGTTAAAAGCGGTGTAAATCACTTACTGAACGCTTAACCGGTCAGTTATTATTTACTAACCTGTTTTTGTTATATTGTTCTCTATACATTTCATTGCTATGACCGTTACAATAGTTTAGAGGATCATTGATGAATAAAGCTCTTGCTCACAGAAAAATCACGAACTTCCAAACAATTGGCATGGATAGTCACTCAAAATTCCGAAATTGATAAAGAAAAGCAAATACGTTCTTGATAACTTTTGTGAAAAAAGCTTAAAGCCGTATTCGTTTATTTCAATTTGATTTAGTATATATTTTCAGCCGTCTGTCGCCGGGCCACTCATTCGGGGATATATAGAGCATAACATGCTACTGTCTTTTGATATCAATTTTATCAGGCTCGGCTGATATGGGCAGAAAAGGCTCGGCTATCAGGCAAGGCTGATATGGGCTAGAAAGGGCGAGGCTTGCCGAGCCTTTTCTGCCCTTATCAGCCGAGCCTCATAAAATTGATATCAAAAGACAGTAGCATGTTTTTCTATTTATCATGTTACACATAAAAACTGTCAAAATAACAAAATAATCTACTTTAAAATAGCGAATTTCGTAAAACAAGGGGCTTACAGTTCAAAGAAATAATTCTTGAAAACAAATTCCTCCGCCCCTGAAACTTAGAATTTGTAAATGGCGGCCATTTCTTCTTTCGACTCGTATAAAAGATACAACAGAATGTAGGCCTAACACGATAAAATTCTTACATTTTAATTCAAACATCGATCCAAAAATTCCCTTAGGCTTAGAATCACATGAATATCATAACTTTAATGCACATTTTGTCTTGAATTGTCAAATTCAATTTTAAGTTCACGATAATTTCAATCAAACAAAAGTCAAATCGGCATTCAAACACAAGCTACACAAACATGCGTCTTATTTTTTAAACGAAAAAATTTGTTCACTTATTAAATAATCCGGCGATATAGGGTAAACATTCACACCGTACAATCAAATGGGCAGACAGCTGTTCCAGCGTCCACAGCTGTACCAGTATATACATGTCGGCGCGGGGAATACAATTGACGTACGGTAAGTATTTATCTATTTTTAACATATATCAACTGTATTCGAGTAAATCAATGTTATGGATTCATAGTCAACATCCAAAGAAGCATGCTAACAAATATCTGGCCCTGTGCAAGCTTTACTTCACATGAATTTTGACTGAAAATAACCACACTATCCGATGAGATGCGGTATTTTTAGTTTGAAGTCACAAAAACTTATATTTTCTCATGATAATTAATCCTTTTTTCATACGATTCGTAAACGTCAACATTTTGTCATTAAACATTCCAAACCATACCTTCAAAAAAGCTTTTCTGTTAAAGTTATAAGGTATTTAAGTTTGTGTGTCATCAAAATTTTAGTAACGTCATCAGCTGTTCGCCTCTTTTTAATGATAACATCGACAGCAATTCATCGGCAAGGATGAATAACGCTGAAAGCTGTTCAAAGAAACAATTACATGTATTTACAACAGCGCTTTTGTCCTACAGTAACTAGGAAAGAGTAAAACTTTTTTGTTATTTAAAATATTACTTTATTCATGATACTTTCTAATTAATATTATTTTTATTATTACTTTCTATTATTTGTTATATCTTAGGTTAGAGACCTTGATCTCCATTTACCGCATAAAAAGGTAGCATAACCTATTAAAGGGACTCCACCAAGAATTTTTGACATGACGGGACTGGAAATAATGTTTTAAGATTATTTCTCCATTTGATGTAGATCTATACTAATAACTTATATGCAAAATTTCCGATAATTAGCTTGCTCCGTTTTTCCAGAATATTATAATAGTGAAAAAATGACCAAAAATTGAAAAGAGTTTAAACGCTTTTCACTAAAATCGGACTGAGAATAGCACAAACATATGATTTTCAAAGTATTTCTCCTATATTTCTTGGTTTTATTTTATTAATATTTATGTTTTAGTGCTCATGTTTTTTTATGTGAAAAAATAAAATTTCATGTTTTTAGGCTTATAAAACCTCAGTGGAGTTCCTGTAATAGGTTTATGAAATGTTTAAGGTGACAACGGACCCTTTACGCAGTACCACGAAAAATGCCATTTAAAACTAGTTTTTTGTGTAATAATTGTTATTAATGAAAAATTTATGCATTAAATATCCTTTATTTATATATAAATTTAAAAAAATCTAAAAAATGCTTTTGGAAAAACATGATTTTAAACAAAAACTGTATAATTTCAAATCGTCACATCAAAGTCATCTTTCATTTTTTTGCCATCAAACTCATGAAATATATACATCATTATAATATCTAGGGAACCGTGTCTCAGATTTTTTCTATCTTTTCTCAAAAAAATATTACGTAACGTCAAACATTTTAAGCGACTTTTTTCATACTACTTATTACGTAATTAAAGATAATTAAACATCTGGTTGAGCAAACAAAATTCCCTGACACGGTTCCCTCCGTAAATGAATTTCCTTTCATGTGTTTCAAACTGCATGTTAATTGCTTCATTATTAAAAAAGTTATGCCGATTTAAAATTGGTCCGGTTTACATCAAACGAAGTGTCAAAATCGGCCTTTTTTATGTTAATCCCTATTTTTACGAGATATTATTGCATAACTTGACAATATATCGCATCAAATGGGGTCATAATATGCGGTCTCACGCTCTAACACCCTTTTATGACCCAATCATATCTGACCAATTAAAAATTTGTTCATAACTAGCATTTTAAACAAGAAATTTCCCCATAACCTAACGTGATTTATTGTTCGTCTGGTATCTGTCGCAGTAGTCACGTGACTATCGGAAAAATTTGAGGCACTCAGTGGGGAAATGGAGCGTATAGAGCGATCATTGACTACCGCTGTTCAAAGTGCGGGGTAACGACTTGTTTCACTTTTAAATAATGTAAATTATAATAATAATTTAAAAAATACAAATAATAATTATTAAAATTATTATTATGGTGGTGGCGATTGAAAATTTATGTGTTTCTTCTATGAAATAATAAATGCTAGACTACTTGATTATTATCGTTCGTTATAATTTAAAGATATACTATTCAAATATTTATTATTGAAAAAATATTGGTAATTGCAACGCAGACTTTGGTAAATATAAAATAGGTATATTTTGACTTCACATTAAGTAGATATGTTATGTATTAAAACCTAAACACTATAAGTGGACACACCATGAAAATATATAGTTTCATTAAAATCTGACTTTTTTTAAACGGAAGGAGCCGTTCTTAGGAATCCAGATTCCCATACATATTTTGTACGTTTTTTTTAAATAAGACATATTCAGCAAGAATTTTGTAATTGTAAACAATTTTCTACAATAAAAATATTTATCTCAAAGATGTGAAAAGTATATCTTTGATTATTTCACCATGAGTACATAAAAGTCGTGTATAAGGTAAAAAGTACTTCAACAAAAACTTATTTCGCACATAATGGTAACTTCAGATGACTGCCTGTTCGCATTCCCGTTCTCCCTTATGTAAAATCTCGGCTATGTAAAGCTGCAGTCTAAACACATATTTAGCAAGACACTGTCATTGCCAAATGCATAAAATATGCAACGAAATAAGGGAAATGTATACCAATATTATCTTTTTTGTATATCATAAAAGATAAAGTGTTGTATTGCATACGTTATTCACAGGATATTGATTTACAACTAACATTTGTTGCTGTACTGTATCATGTATTTGTGGCAAATGCGTAAGTTCGAACCCTGCTTCCGGCAATGTCTCTTTATCGAGAATTTTGAAAACTGATTATAATTCAACGTATTTTTTCCAGATTTGATTCAACATTCTTCAAATATGCTCTGCAGATGACCGTTGACATTCAGAAAAGCGATGGAAAAACAGGAAGTCAAATCAGATACGCAGTTTACCGCCACTGGGCGAGAGAGTTGAAGGTATTTTAAGAATATGCACACAATAAGTTATTCAAATATCAAGCAATAGTAAATCTGGCGCAATACAAGAACTTGCAATTAAACATTTATTCATGTCATGGACGAACTATCTTCCGTCTGCCTATCCGTAACATTTCGGTCCGGGATTTACACTAAATGCTCTAGATGAACAATTAACGAAATGCAATTTCGTACGATCATGAAACATGCTTATCACACATGATGTGAAAAAGTTTGTCCACCTAGGGTAAAATTCGCCTAGCCCATATCTCGATGTACATGAAATATAACTGCTTTCATTTTATTATTCCATTTATTTATGTTGCACTCCTTTTACAGAGAATGGATGTTGGCATGGATACGATGGGAAACCCGCAGTATGAGTTTCCGAAAGAGGCCACCGAGTATTTACGAAAGCTAACTGGCGGCCCAGCCAAAAGAGAGAAACGACAGGTAAACATTTATCAATTTAATTAATCATTAGGCAATCACAATAAAATTTTTTAATCAGAAATCAAACACAACAGAACATTATATTTGTTTGATCTAATCTATCGTCATATATACACAAATACAATACATATATAATAAATATATATACAACATATAAGTATTTACTATATATACAAAAATCAAATCAATAATTGATATATCATGCCAGCGAAAAATTATACCAAAATCAATTGCGTCAAACTATTTGCCTATCCTAAATTAGAAAAATATGCTTTCATAACGAAGTGTCAATTTACCGGTAAATGAGAAAAAATTTACATAAGTGTATAAAAAAGTAAATATCAATATTCTCAATTGTTGCAAATTTATCAAAGTACAGTTACTATATGTATGTATTTACAAAATATTCAATATTTTAGGTGAAGGTAGTAGTTCCAATGGAAGTATTGTGCCGTGCCCTTGCCGTTCCTCCAAGGACCTAGATCGACCCACAGGCGCTAGTCACATAATCAAATATTTTACATAATCGGTCTATATATATGTATATAAAGATATAAGGCCCCCAACGAAACAAAAACATCATGCAGAACAAACAAGAACACTGCTGCAATAAACAACCAGATCACGGTTATCTCTTTCTGGTCGCCATCTGAAAGGATCAATCCAAGTGCCAACGCTTTTTATTTCATTAAAATCCCTCAAATAGCAAAGAAATTGGGAAAAGTTTCGCAAAATGCCATTATTTTCAATTCATGTCGTTTTCGACGTCCAGTCCATTCATGTATATAAACACGATTTCTGATCGATTTTTACGGAAAAAAACAAAAAACGGCTAGAATTTCCACGTACGTTCCATAAACAAACTCTTTTCCTATCGATCTGCGAAGTCTTCACTGATCAAATGCCCTCTTCGTACGTATTTCATTAAAAAATGCACAAGGATCTCGCTTGTGACAGTATTTTATCGCCATGTATAGCGCATGTATATACTGTTCCGCTCTGAATATTATATAAGGATTTGATTGGTTAAGATAATTACCGGAATACTATTGACCAATCGTATAATTCTATTTCTTTGTTTCATTTATCTGTCACTTCAAATTACAAATGGCGCACTTTACTTGACCTCCGCTTCTACAACCAATATTTTTTGAATATTTGAGTACAAAGAGGGCTCTAGTTCAATTTAGACTTCGCAGATTGATAGAAAAAGAGTTTGTTTATTAATTTTATGAGAAAATTTTAGATGTTTTCTATTTATTTCGTAGAAATCGACCAGAAATCGTGTTTGTATACATGAATAGATTGGACGTCGAAAACGACATGGATTGAAAATATTGGCATTTTCTGAAACTTTTACTCATTTCCTTGCTATTTGAAGAATTTTAATGAAATAAAAAGCTTCAACGCTTGGATTGATCCTTTCAGATGGCAACCAGAAAGAGATAACCGTGATCTGGTCGTTTCTTTCATCATTGTTCTTGTTTGTTCCGCATGATGTTTTTGTTTCGTTGGGGGCCTTATATCTTTATATACATATATAGACCGATTATGTAAAATATTTGATTATGTGACTAGCGCCTGTGGATCGACCTAGCAGAAAGCCGTATTTTCGGCATGCATTATGAAATGTACATTTCAAATTGTGTTTTTTGTATTTGTTTGGAAATAAAATTATTTATAATATGTGTTTTTGTTCATTGTTGAAATAATCTACTACACCTGGAAAGTGTCATGGAATGTAAAGCAACAACAGTTACTGCCAAACATTGCTTCAAAATTTAGTCTCTCACATAGTTTATGGAATGTCGTGATGTAGTAAGTTCACATGTAAGTTGGGGGGGGGGGGGTATGACTACGGTGGCATAGAAGTGGGGAAGGGGAAATGTTGTTCTATAATTTGGGAGGGGGTATCGTCCGTATGGGGAGAGGGTGGGGTACAGAGGCTTAATTCTATTGATCAGCATTCATGCAACAGTTTATACACACATATTTCTTTTGTGTCCTTTCATTGGCATATTGCACTTCCTACATCTCCGAACAGTGTCACTTACGGCACAAACTGCATACTTTCCTGACTCGTACGTTTTTCCCTCCATTTTCTGAAAAGCATCCTCCATTTTAAGTGTTTCTTTTCGAATGTCCTTTCTCCTCTGTTTCCATTCAGGTTTGTGTTTGTATTCAGCAATTTGTATGCGTTTTTTATCAAGCGACCGCCACGTTTTAACAGTGAGATTTGGGATGCTAACTCCAATTTTTGTACACAATGCCTTATTGAAAACCTCCTGGCCCGAGTTTCCAGTGCCCAACAGTCATTGCGGTTGATAGTCTGTACGCACTTTCACTATTATATTGTCGTTTTGACACTAATTTCCATAAAATTGAATGACAAGCCTCGTTTGCGTTCTGAGTAAGTCCCATTTGACAAGTTTTTAGGAGACTTTCTGACGAAAGTTCTTCAATTATTGGTTCTATTTCCTTTGTCACTGCCACCGGAAGTGGATATTTCGGGAATTTGTACGTGTCTGTTCCCTGGGCTTTATCTACTTGGAATTTACACCAAGAATCCTCGCCGTTCGGGCAAAGATCATGGGTGGGATTTTCGGGAGTGGCTGAATAATGTGCGATTATAGCGCGTGTAGCTTTTTGCATAGCATCTAAGTTGCCTTTGTTTGTTCTAAGTCCTATTCCATAAAACACCTGAAAACTATCTATCACTTTATGGGTTAATCTGCCGCGACCGGAAATGCATTTTCCGTCGTCAAGCTTGCGTCCTTTATTTTCTTGCACAATCTTTCTTAGTTTGTTTCCCATTCGTTTCTGGATATGGCCAACACAGTTCTCCTTAGTGATTTTAATATCCGGGCCATAAATATTCTGTTTTATAACACTTCGGTAAGATGAACTGTCACCATCTCCCACGAAAACTGTGTACCTTAGCCCGCGCTTTTCAAGCGATCGTCTATATATATGTCGAGGATACAAGCTGCTTCCATAGAGCTTGACGAGCCCTCGTGAGTTTTGGTACATGAAGGACTGTGGTTTGCCCTCCAAGTCTCATACTCTGGACTGCCCTTTTTACCTTCCATAGTTTTGCACATTTTGCAAAGTTTGTATTTGTACTCGTAGTCTATTATTCTTCCCGTATCAACAGAAATGGCAAACACTACACAAAACGACGCCGAGTGTCCTACGTGATTCCATGTGCCGTCGAACGAAATTGCAACGTCTGTATACTCCTGACCGTTGCACTCCCCTAACTGTTGCTTCATGAACTTTAACTCCGAAGTAGCCCGAGCCATGTCCTCCTCCGCTACGAATTCAATGTCGTCTGCTAGGTCATTCTGAAACATATTAAATAATCATGTAATAAACGAGTACATATACGCATATGCATATAATATATATTTCAGAGGATGCCTAATTAGTGAGATGCCTCATATTCATAAAAGCGAGAAATTGTTCAGAAATTTACTTTGCGATCAACATCTAATAAGAAACAACAGTAAAGTACAAAAACGTGCATTCATTTCATTTGCACGCGAGTCACGTGCACTGTTTTGATTTAGCGCGAAAATGCAGTTAGTGAACGATTGCGGTTTCTGGTAAAAATAATGATAACGATATCAATGATGATAGATTTAATATTTTACGAAAATTTTATTATATGAAATCAAATGCCTCCTTGTCAATTTAAAACAAGACTGACATGTTTCATGTTGCCCGGTGCATATGTAATATACAGAAGTAAAAATACTAGCTGAAGAAAAAATAATGGTCTGAATATTTTACATAAAATGTCAGCAATGATCTCAATTGATCTATTGAAATAACTAACTATTTATGAAGAGTCGTTTACCATTACTTTTTCAATTTTTCAAAACTACATGAATAGTCAAAATAATAAAAAAATGCGTAACTTTGGAGTTGTGCTATATTGGATGATAAAACTGAATATTTCACATACTTTCAGTCTGTTGCGATTTTATATATTGGATGCTTCCTTTCGTTAGATTTTTTATTGATCATAACTAAATCTAAATAAAAAGTTTGGTTATTTTTTATTTATGCGTGTGTGTGTTTGTTTCTCTTACTCAAATTTGTGCTATTTTGACAAATATGTTTTTTTTTTAAAATAGACCGGATATTTCTTACGCAAATTGCATATATGCACATAAAGCTTCTCCTTGCTTAATAATTATAATATTATGCGTTCTAATTAGAGGGTCAATGGTGTCAGTAACGTGCGACAAAGTCGGCACGCGCCGTGGTTTATGACACCAATATATAATTAGATCAATGGATTAGCTTGCACCACGCGGTCTTGTATATACACCAATCACACCTCGGTTTAATGGTTAATTGATCACGGTGACTTATGTATAATATAACATAGCTACGATATAGGACCATGAATTGTCGAACATAGAAAATTCTCTGTATTCGTACTTATTGTATTGTATCCTTATTTTTCATGCGTAAAATAAGCAAACTTGGTTTCCTTCTTTGCAGGAATATGAAACTGTTTTTATGATTTATATTTTACATAAATTGCACAGCATGGTTCTCTTCTAAGACAAGTTATTTGAACCGTTAGTACATTGCAAAGTGCGTCACATTTAGTGAAATATGGCTCGCAGATAATGTGCGTCACTACAGTAACGGGACCATTACTTTTTTAAACATTAAGTACTGGTACGTTTTTCCATTTATGCTAAGCTCCCCACAAAAATTAAATGAATATATAAGAAAGAGCATATTGACACCAAGAAAATTTTGTAAAAGCAATTACCTGATGGCTGTTCCAGCTCTTCTGCGTGGGAGGTGGCGGTAGCCCCATAAAGGCGAACATCTTGGCAACTGCGGTCTCGCCGCCACCAGAGGATCGAGCAGCAAGCACTGTACGTTTGTTAATGTCAAATATATGCCCGTTCTTCTTTTGAATGGGGAACTCCTTGTTTCTTGTCGAACATTTCTCATTTGAACAGTCTACATAAAGGAAAGGTACGATGCCTTTTCGGAGAGAACTTTTTTCCTTTATTAAAAGTACACCCTCCTTACATGCACTACATACAGTAAATGGTTGATTCTTTCTTGATATCTGTTTTGAATGTAATGATGGGACTTCTGTGAACTTTCCTCTAGTCATTTTTCGTATCAAAGCTAGTTATGAAGGAAGCACTATGACACGGCGTAATTCCACTGCTGTTTACCAACTTCCCTTCCTAAAACCTTCAAATTCTCCTTCTCTCCATTTTTGAATGTTCTTTTTTCTTTTTTGTTTTTGCGATTACCCATATTTTGGGGAATTTACGCCACGGTTTACCAATGAAATATGTATCCAATCTGAATACAATCTACATAAACACTCACAACTAATAAGCAGATAGACAAAAAATATATTTCTACTTTTATTTTTTATTTTCAATCGTTTAAATCGTTCTTTTTTTAATGACCACCCGACTGTTACATAACGTCTTATGACACTTTTATCCGATAAGCCACGGATTTATCATTTATATTTTTAGCGATTGCCCCTTTTTGAGCCTCATAATGGGCGGCGCGTTATCGGTAATTGACAGCTAACGCGCTCGGCAGATTAAAAATATATAGGTATCATTTTTAAACGTTTAAAAAACGTATTTTTAAACGGATTTCTTCCTAAAAAAAATCTTGAACTTGTTAAGGACTGTCTGGAAAAGACACTGAGCAAAAAATCTCATTTTCGATATTTTTTCGCTAATTGACTCCGTTGTCACCTTAATATAACTGCATGTATTCCACCTGAAGGCTGGAAGATATCAAATAATGTCTAGAAATATAGATTTAAATCCTATTTACTGTAATGTAAAGGGTTTAATCGATTTGTTAAGTTTTAACTTAAATTGGCATGCATTTGAAAACATTGAAGCGTTAAATTTTGGATATTGAATTACTTTAACCCATCTATTTATATAGCATACAAATACACGGATGTTTGAAAATGGAAAGAAAATTGTCAATTTTGTGTAAAATTGACGTTTAGTTTAGCCGCATTTTTCGGCTTTAAAGCGGCTTATTAAAAAATTCCTGAAATAAATTTTGGATTTTTTCTTTAAACGTACTTTAAAATAAATAACTAAACAAAATAGGGGGTCACCGACTCAATTTTTTCGGTACACGTGATTTTATTAAAGCGATCCCTGTGTCAAAAACCGACTATAACGAAAATTATTACGCCAGGTATGACACTGCGTGGAAAATATATGTATTACCAATAAAGGTGTAAAGGGTACGAATAATCCGGAATTATCATAGATATACAGGCAAAAATAGTGAGAATATTGTAATTAACTTTAGATGTAGGCCGTATATTCATAGCAATACGTATATGACTAATATACCGTGATATCCGTACACTCGTAATATACGGGAACTTTGTTTAATAAATTCGTATTGTTTGTTATTTACAAGGTCAGATATTACCAGACTATGATTTTTTTATTCTTGTAAATATACATTTTGTATATAAAACAGAGAACAAGGATGTACTTCAGAAGGACCCTCTTTCTACAAGAGGAAAGAAATAATAGTCTGATCTGACCTTTGTCCCCATAACATTTTAAATAGTAAAATCAGAGACATAAATAACAGATAGTTATCTAGATGTATCTGGTAAAACTGAGTAAAATGTAATATTTCCAAGTTTTATTAACATGTAATTTGCATACTGATTAAATGGTCGGTGAACAGAACATAATAAACACCGACATATCCTCTATGTACAGTGCCCGTAGCATGTACTGATAAAAGATGACAATATATATTGAAATATCTTTATTTTGTATACAGATTTACATGTGCAGTATCTAGCTCAGGACCGCCTGGTTCGCTACATATGTTCTGTTAAACATCCGCAGACGTGTATTTACAGGTTTCATTATATTTTTAAAATACTATTTTTAAGTTTTCCTGTTCACAATAAATTCTACCATAAATTCTTCCATAAATTTGGCAATACAGTGAATAATGAATATTTGCAAAGGCCGATTTTTAGTGATGTTTTTAATACAGCGTTTATGGTGAATCCTCAATTAAACGTTATTTTTAACATTATCATATTTCTAAATGATAAGCAAAAAATGTATTAAAGATGTTTATTTACTTGTAGAATCGAACGTGCTGTATACATCTGTAACGTTTCAAATATGACTGTTGCTTCACGCTAATATAATTGACTAAATTTCATTTATGAACCGTATATTTTAATTTGTCAATGTTTCTCACACTTATTTAGCATTTACTCTGTCAAACTGTTGTAATAGTTTTTGCTTACAAATGAAATTCAAATTCTGGTTTTTAATAGGTGGAATAAAATACATATCACTCTCAGTATATCACTCATAGTGTGTGTAATACAAAATGTACAGATTTGCAGAATTTTTGGTACTTTACGTATTAATTTATGATTGAATTTCCGTAAATTTCTAAATTTACATAAAAATATATAGTTACTTTTTACTTCTTATGGCATATTTCTCGATTCAAGTTTATTAATTTTAATGTATTACAATATCAAAAAGTTACACCGCAATGATAACTCTCCGCTGTATTTGTTTGCGCAGCGTACGCGTTGCCGTTGAACGCCTGACGTCATTTTCTGTACATTCGTCTGTTTACAATTACATATGAAGTTATTGTTTCAAATGGTAACATTGCTAAAACAGCAAAAATTCTTTCTGATCAAGCTTTAAAGGCAATGTATAATTTGTTAAGTCTTTTTACAAGAATACATGTCGATATTATAACGAAACTTAAATTGTTTGATTCCCTAGTTGCACCAATTCTGCTTTATTCTGCGGAGGTATGGGGAATATATTGTCCTTAAGAGGTTGATAAGATTCACATAAAATTTTACAAAACCATATTAGGTGTGAAATCGCAGACTCCAAATTACGCTGTTTTAGGTGAATTAGGAAGATTCCCCTTATCAGTTATTTGCAAGAAAAAACTCTTAAATATTACACTATATTTAAATCAAATTCAGATTAATGTATAAGTTATTTTCGATTGAGTGTAATAGTAATAATGATCAACATTGGGCTCTCTCTGTAAAAACGCCATTGTATTATTTTGGTCTAAATCAAGATGTAAACTATGTTACTACATTATCACGAAGATTGAGAGATCAATTTATCCAACAATGGCAAACTTCAGTTGCCGACTTTATTAAAACTGAATTTGAATCAGCGGAATATATTAATCAAATAAAAAGTGACAAATCAGTGGAACTGTTTGCATCCGTTAGGTTAAGCAGTCATACTATAGCTCTAGAAACCGACCGTTATCGAGGTGTAGACAGAGAGGATAGATTATGTGAACATTGTATAATGCATGTTGTTGAAAGTGAATACCACTTTCTTTTAATCTGTACTCATTATTCTGAAATTCGCAAAAAATATTTTCCAAACACAGCATGGCCATCTTTACCTAAATTTTATAGTTTAATGTCAAGTAGAAAACAGTCAACTTTACTAAATGTATCGAAATTTTTAAATGAAGCATTTTTGAAAAGAAATGAAATTAATATGTAAGTTAATGCATGTCATATACTTTACTGTTTCTCCAAATCAGCTTCGCAATGATGTAACAATTGTATAACAATTATATGTAATTTGATGCATGTGTGATTTGTATATATATTGTAGTTTGTTAACCTTTGCCAGAGGCATTTTGTATGCTGATTATTGAAAATAAAATATTGAATTGAATTGTTATTAATCATGCTTAAAAACAAGAAGAAAATTTGTTTGTTTTTCGTACATTTTTTTTTTCAGCAAACATAAACGCCACAAAATAGAAAGGCGATAATAAATTCAATAAAATTGCACTTCGACCAAGCCCATGATAGTTAGGCAATTGTTGTTACATATCTAGCAAGTTTCGTTCACTGCTGACAGTTCCTTTTTGCTCAAGTAACACGTTATATTGAAATGTACCTGTATTTAGACTTTACTAGCCTGGATTCCAGTCTTTGCTTCTGTTCAGAAAATCGAGTATATATCAGTAAGAAATTGTGACGTGCTCGTAAAAAATAGCGCGTATGTTATGAATCAGCAAAAATATCAACGCCTAAATCCCAGGCTAAGATATTTAATAAATATAAATTTGCTTTATCATCGTCAGGTCTCATTTTAAATTTTAAGCCTTTTGCAATTGAACATTGTTGTTGTTGCTTCATATGTATGTAAGTTAAACTCTAGACAATTCTCCTGATAAGCTGAACATAATTGCCGCACTTTGAAGTCCCAACCGTATCTGCATACGTCGAATTTCGTTACAAAATTACTCAAGGGGTGGGGGAAATTAAATCACGTGTACCGAAAAATTTCAGTCGGTGACCCCCTAATTTTTTTTAGTTATTTTGACTAAGTATACATTTTAAAGAACGTTTAAAGAAAAAAATCAAAAATTTATTTCAGGAATTTTTTAATAAGCCGCTTTAAAGCCGGAAATTGCGGCTAAACTGAACGTCAAATTTTACACAAAATTGACAATTTTCTTTCCATTTTTCAAACATTTTTCCGGCGTAAAACGACAATTTTTATATCAGCTTAAAGGAAAAAATAATTTCCTTCGAATGCTGTAGAATTTAAGATATTTTGTCCACCAATGGCGTTGAAATACCCGTAACAGTTGCCAAGGATACGCATAGACGTCATGTTCAAAAACGGGCTTTGATGGTACTTTTTTGACGCCGTGTGTATAAAAATTGGCTGACACTATTGGAATAAAATCAACGGAACCTTATCAGAAATATGGTCAACTTTTTGCATGCCAATTTTTAAGACGCTACTCGAAAGTTCGCAAAGTGTCGCGTTCTACCTTAAATCTGATACACTGGGTTGAGAATTAAAGACATGATAATAAAAGAATGTTACCGAATTCAACGACCTTCTTAATGCTAAGATATACAGTGTAGGACAGACAGACAGAAAATTCTTTTGACGTAAACAGTACAGTTCTTTTGTCATACATTTTACAGGAGAATACAATATTGAATGTACAAAAAAGTAGCCGAGGGTTAAAATAAC